TATATATATATATATATATATATATATATATAAATAATGCAGTGCTCTAACATACCATGAACACTGACAGAATAATCTCTGTGTCATCAAAATATAACTTGCACAAATAGAAGGAAAAAAATCGGGTGTTAAATATGAACCAGTTGTAAGGATTAAGTATTTAGCTTCTTTTTTATTTTCAAAAGTGACAGAGGTGACCCAGTTATTTATCTCTTTTATCTGTATTTATACAGTCTCCCTGGCCCATTGCCCAAGCTCACTTTTCAAGTGCTCTCACCTGACCTACAACATTCCAAAGTTTTAAGAAGTTGAGAACGCACAAGAACACAAGCCCTTTATCATTAGTGAGGACTATATTTATACTAAAAGAATAGTGGCTGTGTAATTACACACATTACAAAATTAGCACGTTTTATTGTAGTACGTTATATGATAATGCCATATCGTTTAGCAGTGTCTTGTGTTTGTGATCGCAGGGAACATCTTGGTAAACAACAAATTACGTAATCAGGTTTGTTCTGTTCCAGAGAATGGAGCTTCCGGCAGTAGTGTTGCCAGGCAACGCCCCTAAATGATTCGATCCCCTTATTTTGTCAAACGGACCAATCACCGAGCTCCTAACAAAAAGAGGCGTTTTGGAGGCCCACTGTAGTGTGTACAGGCTTTATCTTTTGAGTTTTCGAGAAGAAAATCGTGTTAAAACAGCTAATTATGGACAAAATGAAGGAATCTGACGGATTGGAACGTCAAAGAAATTGTATCATAAAAAGGTATGTTGATTGATTGTGTTAAGCTTTTGCTATTTGTACAGTCCGACCCGAAAGCAGGCCGTTAGCAAAACAACATTGTAGGCTAACGTTAGCTAGCAAAGCTAGCATTCGAGCTAACCCGTGTACACAAACTAACACTAGATAAAGCTAACGTGAAGTCCTTCATAACATTAACGCTATATCTCCCCACGCTAACTAAGTAAGCTAGCTAGGAGCAAATCGTTTTTTTGTCACACTGTTTCGGAAACCGTCATATCTTTATCTAGCTTCACTGGTCTCCCGAGGGGACCTAGCCTTAGTTTGGGCCCCTCATGTATTGTAATGTAAGGTAACTGAAATGAGACACAAACTGGCACGAGTTGAACTTGCCATCACATTTGCTAAAGCTAGGTAATAACGCATTCCACACTTGCCCCACCTAAAGTGGTATCATTAAGTGTTCATATAATTTAGTTGTATCTGTAATAAAGTTAACCTCCATCCCTTTCCCATATGAGAAGCACTGGGTCTTGCTTGGAGCGTGTTTTGTTTGGGGGGGGGGGGGGGGCTTTTCTCTGTCTCCATTGGCCTAACATTTTCTAAATCACACAACAACAGTTTCATCTGCCAAAATAATACACATGTGATAAAAAACCACGGGGGCTCCCTGTTGTTTATTTGCAAGATTGCCACTGCCCTGAGCACAGTGCATCAAATCTCTCTTTGTCTCCCCAATCTCTCTTCTCTCATACACACCTCATGGTCTTATGATGAAAAGAAAATCATTTTTGGTCAGCAGGTTCAGAAAAACACTGCTGACCTTTTTCATTGTGTAATCATGGAGTGTTTGCTCTTCAGACCAATGCTCTGCCTCTGACACACTCGCCACATATATGGGCTGTTAGTCCAACGAGGGGAAAAGTGTACATGAAATGAAAAACTATCCAGCCATGTTTATGAATACACTTTAAATAATCACTTTCTAATGTACAGGGTGATTCTGGATAAGTAGTGGGGAATTTCTTCAGTATTTGTGTTTCATTGCTTGTTTTTTCTGTCTTTTGCAGAAGTTGAGAATGCCAAGCGGGGACTTCAAGGAGGACAGGTGTACAACATCAACACAATCCACCCCAAGTGTCACCCCTTCTGTCACCCCCAGTGTCACCCCCTGTGTTACTCCCCACACATCACCGGCTGTTAGTCGCAGGTAGGCATCATGCTGCTGTAATGTTTAGCTCTTATTGTTATTTAATCTAAACATAGATCCAAAATGTCATCTAAAAATAGATGGAACTGGAACCTCTAATCTTGGCGTGCTTAATTTTCCCAACATGGCTCATATTGTGTGCCATGTGGCACATCCTTCTCGTGTTTGACTTCATGTCCATGGCTTGCTTTTGCTTGGCGGGAATACAGGAGCTGGTTCCAGCTGAATTCTGCGTCTTTTCTTGCCACCCCGGAGCTTAATTGTCCCAAACCCAGCACAGACATGGGAGGAAATGAGGGTGGAGGAGGAGGAGGAGGAACAGACAGGTGGAGCTTCTTTGGAACTCGACCCGTGGTACAGAAGTCCCCCACTGACCCAGGCTGTGAAACCAGCACAGGTGAGAGATTTATACCCAGTCTAAACTTGGATCGTGTGTGTGTATTACAGTATGAATGCATAATAGATGTGATAGGCTCTCATAGCAGGTTGAACCTTGTGACCCGTGTTTTTCTTTGAATGCAATAATACTGGTTCTACTGCCTGGTTACAAGTTAACAGCTCTTGAAATCAGCGGTGGTTTTCCAGTGTCAGGGTGGGGCGATGTTCCTCACAGTCTGTGATTCAAATATAATAAAAAGGGTTGGCCCACCACCCAAAAGACACAAGCTGGGACCCTCTTATCACTTATATAATACAAAGAATAATATTGAACAAACAAATAAATCTCAGTTTTCTGGGGCCTTTTTCACTTCTGAACACTCCTGGGTGTGGATTAGTGGTTTGCTTTTTATGTTTTCATGCTGGGGACATTATGTTTTTATGTTTATCTGTCCATATGTACAGTACATCCGCCCAATGATCTCTCAGGAATGCCAGGAGGGAATTTCTTCACATTTGGCACAAAAGTCCACTTGTATTCAAGGATCAACTGATTAAAATTTGGTGGTAAAAGGTCCCGGTGACCTCACGCCTGACCCATTCCGCTGAACGCGATATCTCAGGAACACCTTGAGGGAATTTCTTCGGATAAAAGTGATGACATTTTGGACAGACGTGGATGTAACCTGCTGGTGGAGCCAAATAATACTAGTTTGACCTGTAACCACAGCAAACAGTCAGAAAGAACAATATTTTCAGTAGGGACTAAAGTTACTCTTTAAAATCGTGACACTAAAGCTGCTCCCTTTTTACAACGGCTAGATTCAGGTCATTAATGTCAACATTTCTCGTCTCTCCTTCAGGCTTCTCACTGCAGTCCTATTTCGGCATGCAGAAGTCCTCCACCATGGATGGCACCAACACCCAGGTCAGCTTCAAGGTGGACGACCCTGCCAATTTCATGCCCCCCAAGATTGACATCTCGGGCATTGAGGCCAAGCAGGCACCCACACGGCCGCACAAACTTAAACCTCGGGACATGAATGTTTTAACACCCTCAGGCTTCTGAAGACGGAGCCACTGTGTCGTAACACCTCTGTACCATATCTTTAATAGTTTTCTATTCTCCGATTGGTTTGCTCACTTGCTTTCTTGTCTTCCACTGTCCCTTCTGCCTCCCTGCAAACTCACTGAGGCTGAGAGGAAAGAAGACCACCATGTAGTGTTAGCTCACCAGCCCCACAGACAACCCCCCACTGTTACTCCTCCCAGCGGACCAACTCCGATGGATTTCCATCTGCTATTAGTCCACACCGTCCCCTTCCTATCGCCTCCAAATCCAACACCATATCAAGTCATTTCATTTGTCACCCCTAAAGGGAGTATTGCTTTGTAGTGTTATTGTTGTTCGGCACATAATGGGTGCATTGACGTGCATTGCCTTGCTGTCCTTGTTCAATTGTCAATGATGGCATGAGATTGAAGTTGAAATATTTTGTCAGTCCTTTTGCTCTAGCTAATCACTTTAGCATTGCCTCTCGTACATCTGACCAGCTATTTCAATTAATAATGCTCAGTTGCCTCATTTCTTTTATTATTTTATTTTGAATAAGCTCACAGATTTGTAGTTGTGTAGTCCTTTCCTGTGTTAGCATGCTGGGTATAGTGTGGGATGACTGATATGTGCCTCAACTTGCAGCATGTTTGCTTAATTGCGTTCTTGTCATCAAAGTACAGTTTTTTTTTTTTTTTTTTTTTTATTATTGAATGAAAGAGCATCTTATTTTGCTTTGTGAGAGTATGACTGACCTCAAGTGAATTTTTAAAAAAAATATATATATTTCAACTTAATCAACATTGATAATTCTAAATGGTGTTTCACATTTTTATATGCATCACAAAATTGTTTCAACGTGCTATGAAAATACAAAGCATTGAAGTGTTACAATTTTCTATTTTGCATTTCCTGAGTCGCAATATAAGAATCCCTGCTGTTTTATTTGAAAAAGTTGATGAATTCCAGTAAGTACATGCACAAGGGAGATGGTCTCCCACTTACATCTGTAAATAAATCTGATAATAACATGCAAAGTGGTTCTCTGGTTCTTTTCTCAATGCAAACATATGGAAATATAATTACATGGAGCCCGGACAAGCACCCCACTCCTTTAGTATATTGTTCACTAATTGTTTTTTTGAAAGAAAGACAATTTCGTGATTAGCGCATGCTGTATCGTAGAAGTTGTCTCCGAAGAAGTGTGTTCCTGACCGACCAATTTACAGTTCTGAGTGTCACACAGGATATCTCTCTTTGTGTTTTTTGTTGCTTTGTAAATCAAACTACAGCAGAATGTGAACGTACAGCCTCATCATTAGACGGAGCTACCATTTTCTTTCACTTATATTTGAATCTGTCAATCGCTAAACAAATCGGGGCTTTTGGCAAGAATTTCAAATAGGCTGTTCATTTTACATTTATTAATAGTAGCAATAATATGCCAGTTGATATAAAAGATCAAATGGCTCTCACCTCAATTTTCCTTTGCCGCGATATCAACAGATAAGGTGAACCCCGTTGGCGACAACGTGCAAGAATTTTACACCAACCTTGAGCTGCAGTCTTTGGCCAGAAGATGGTGCAATAAGCTCAGAATAATACGTTTTGTACTCATTAGTTTGACTTCTATGTTTCATTGTCTTTTACATTACCCAGATTAAAATCAACAACAAGAGTGTTTATACTGGAATCAGATATATTAAATAGCCACGATATCATTTTATACCCAAATAAAAAGTGTGATAGATAGATAATGAGGAAATTACATTTTCCACAGAGACATGAAGGGCAGAGGTGAGAAGAATCAGGAGAAAAGCAGTTCCCTCTGTTTAGTCCATCACATCCTCTGCTGTGTACACATTGATTTAATTGGTCTTCTTCTACTGTTGGTAAGGAGATTGATTTTATTGTAACAGCAATTTCAGGATATTGTCAACAATACTGAGCATTATTAACTACCCAATCTCTCCTCTCTACATCAAAGCTAACATGCAGGCCATCCGACAATGGGCCAGCAGCGAGAAACAGCAGAGAGCAGACTCCGTCCCTGTTGGCTCAGCCATGAAGTAAAAAGGTTTCCAGCCTTGTTAAAGCCCTAAGCAGTTATTGTCTGGTGTTCTGTTTATTGTGTGTGTGTGTGTGTGTGTGTGTGTGTGTGGGTGTAGTAGTAGCAGCCTTATTACAGGGTGTGCCTGTTGCCCTTGTTATATTTCTTACAGAGACACACCAGGATGCACATTCTGTACAGGATATTTATTTTGCATGTTGACTCATTTATTAAAGTATCAACGACAGCCTTGCTTCAGATGAAATGCTGTCGTTCTAACAGAAGCAAAGCCTCAACTTGAGCTAATCACTTTTGTTCACATCAACTTTAAACATCAACTGTCATTTTATTCTGAAATTAGCTGGAGCCCCTAAAGGGAACCCTCCTTTACTTAATTTACAGGCTGTTGAGCGTCCATGTCTGGTTTTCAGGTGGTGCAACAGGAGCAACGGTGAATATCAAGTGAGACAGGCGACTGCAGACAAAGAGCTTTCACTCAGAAGCTGGATACACAGACACAAAATGAAAAGCGGAAAGAAGATAGGGTGAAGAAAGTGCCGTCTTGGAGAAAGAGGATTTGGGTGTGAAAGTTTAGTATAAGCTAAACTTTCACAGACGGAGATGGGCCTGTTCAGTCTTGGGACACATAAAACACATGAAGCAGTAAAGCAAAGGCAAGAGAAACAGTGGGTGGGGGAGTCTAGAAGTGAGAGAAGCAGAGAGCAAAGGGTGGAGTGCCCCAGCATAAATGACATAATACAGATGGCTCTCTCTCTCTGGGTCCGACATGACGTGGTTGCGTACCCCGCCCCCCTTCTCGGCTCCCCTCCTCCACCTCTGCTCCGATCCCTCACAAATCATTGAGCTCACTCCCAGATGTGCAACGGCAAGCACCACCTCGCCAGAGTGACCACGGACCAAAACAAACACCAGGGTCTCTTCTGCAAACTGACACGACACATTCACTTACTCATCTATATTTCAAAAAAACTGGTCTGGCCAAATGACTTCCATAACAACCTCAAAACAATTAGTTACACGCTATGGGCTACACCCATATGACACAACTTAGACTTGCCAGTCTGGCCAAGATACCATTCATGGAAACAATGTAAGTGCCAGTTTTTTAAGAGAAACAGCAACATTTTTTTAAGATCCTGCTCCAGTGATCCAGGTGCACGTGTGTTAGTGATACCATGTTTTGGAAAACCTAGTCTAAATGTGCTCATGTATAAAGGTCAACTTTGAGGAGGACTATGTGTACTTTCATCTAATACATGAAGGAGTGGTAGGAGCACTTTATGTCAGGGCGACTCCAGGAATATGTGGGATAATCCTCCCACCAGCTCGATTCAATTACAGGGATTTTGTAATAAACAGATATTGGGCTTCTGATATCTGACCTACACAGAGTCTTTATCCTCAAGAGGTAATAAACTCTTTTAAAGGCTGTTTTCTATATCAGCCGTTCATGAGATGTTACTGAGTTAAGAGGAAAGTCAAGATGTATTTCCAACGTTTCAACAAAGAAAGCTGCTGTTATAACATAATGATAAAATACCTTACTTCTGGAATTACATTTAATTTATTACTGCCAACTTATACACTACGGGTGCATCTTATTCATGAAACTCACAACTTGTTTGTCTAAGCATCACCAACCACAACAATGAGTAATGCAGTGTTTTTCAGAAGTAATCTAGTTATTTTTCGCCATGACAAGAACACCATGGTGATACATCTTAACAAGGGATTAATAAAACTTAACAAGGGATTTGAAGGGGGTCCTTTCTGACGTCTGCTGCTGGGCGGGTCCTCTGTCGTATGTAACCCCATGTGACTCCAGAACCACATCTGCGGCTGATTCACGGTGAGCTGGCCCGGAGGTGAACCCGCCAAGCTGAGAGGAGACTGGGGTGGGGTAGCTGATGGCTGTCTTCAGGTACTGTGTCCTGTGAAAGTAATCATCAATCATGCCCACTCGCTGGGGATAGAGTCATAGTGTTACAGCTGCTAACACAGATGTGGATAACACACAAATCAAATCAGTGTGCCAATGTTACGCAATATCAAACTGCTGTACTCCATAAATTGTGAAGACGTGACATCTGTTGCAGCATCTCCGTGTCCTGAAAGACACCCGTGCAGAAAATGTATGTGGGGGATGCAAGCTTCTGAGCAGTAAAGACTGGTGTGAGACATGTGACAATGTCGACAAATTGTATAGATCATATGTTTTACAAAAAAGTATATCTGATTTCTTGTAGCTCTTGACTTGGTTCTCTTTTCTACTGATCTGAAACTATCAGAGGTTTGTTGACATTTGTATCCTGCTGGAAAAAAAATGAAAAATGTCAATAAAAAACGACAGAAAACTGAACTGAACAACTGACGTGAAAAACCCAACTTATTCTTTTTTAAGGTCATCCATTTCAGACAACAGGGAAGCAGTACATTGTGTTTGTATAGCAGTTTGAGTGTCTCGTTCTGTTTCCCGTCTTTTGCTTTGTTTGTGTATTCTTGTATATATATTTAACTACAATGTTACCAGTTTTGCATAACCCAGTCTCCAGCCTGTGTCCATCAGGCTGTGTGTCTCTGTTCATCAGGCATTCTCCTGCCATCCCCCACTGAGAAGCAGAGTGTAATGTTGGGCCCTCCTGTACTGGCCCCCGCAGGCCCTAACATGAAGCAGATGTGGGAGGGGAGATCCCCTACAACAAGGTCTTAACAGTCAGCCGGAGCTCACTAGAGCCACATCCGGTTGATGCACTCACTGGAGAAAATACAAGGAAGCTTTTAGCACTACCACACACCACTTCCAGAGCACTGTCTGTCTGTGTGCGTTTGTGATTGAAAGTGAAACATGTACGTGTGTGAGATGATTCATTTCTTGGCTGTGCTGTTTGAATTTAATACCTCGGAGAGGTGTTGTCCACTTGGACAAAGTACGTAAAATGTTCCTTATCCAAATCACGACTTTGCTATATTAGCCCTTTTTTTATAGCATCATTCAAGCAGATATAATCATCGTTATGTTATAATAACATAAACTCTAAATGTGGTTTACAGTTGAAATATCCCTACCCTTAACCCTTTAACCTCAAATATGCAACGACTGGTTTTGTTTTCACCTTGTGAGTCTGTGTATCTGTGGACAAATTCTTCCACCACGATAGCGTCACACCCCCATAAGGTAATGAAACTTAGCAGATGTGTATTTGAGATCAAAATGAAGGTTGAGTTTGAAGATGGGTGTACTACGAGCCAGGGTACCAGAAGTAGGGCGGTACGAAGTGGGGACCATTGTATTTTCCCTGGCCCGATTTGGCATCTCTGCCGGCGTGATTCCATCGCAAGATGGTCTCTATAGTTTATTATTCTTTCATTCTCTGAAATATGTAAAAAATATACCAATGTTGGTTTGTTTCAATGTGATGCGGGTGTCAGAAGTTATCAGACTGCGATTGCTGTCAATTTTAGGGTGTCACCCACTCTCATGAAGCCACACAGGTTCATATGGGTTTGACAGCAATCCAACAATTATAAGATAATACACATAACAAACTAGACAGCAGAAGTTAAAGGTTTAAGGTTAAAAGTGAGGACAATTTAAAATGGTCAAACTCCCTGAAATTGCTTGAGTATCTGTGTCAAAACCTTTCTGTTTGCCCATCATGTTATATCTTCATATTACTTAAGGAACCTTTGATCTCTTGGGTGGATCTCATTATATTGGATTGTCATAGAGCACATGTCATTTCGTGTACTTATTAATCCCTTAAGCCAGGAGAGGAATGCAATGCTTTGGCTTCTGTCACTGGTTCTCACTCACGCACAGCCACAGTACACCTGAACACATGCCATAGTTCAAAGAAAGATAATTACATGTATAATATCATTATAGAGTGCACATGCGAATACATGCACAGTATATGTAAAAAACACAGTAATATTGGAATTAAGCGTTTTGTGAAGCATTGGGAATACTGGCAATACAGTCCAAAACAAATATGAAACTGTACTCTTTCATACACACAATGTGTACAATGGTCCATCGCTGTTCTCCTTCATCATGATCACATATAGGCTGATGTAGTTTGGACAAAGCGAGGTGAGGCGTGTGACTTGGCAGGATGCTAACACATTCCTCAAGTAGAGATGTCGACCGAGAGAAACACACATGTGCCCATTTCATACTTTTGAAACTACGACTCTTTCTGTTTTTCATTTTTATAGGTCTTCCTGCCTGCACACACTGTCTCACGCACTTTATCACCGACTATCTCCTTCCATCCACTTAATGCCTTTTGGTACCCATCCAACTAAGATACAGACAGAGACTGAGATAAGCAGCGTCTCCGTGTCTGACTCTCACTGACATCTCTCACATGTTTTTTTAAAATGTCAACTACGGTTCTACTACAGTGGTTTAAATAAATAGATGATTAAACTTTCAGTTCATCTTTATATTTCCCTCAGTATCTGTCTCATGAAAATGCACATGTTACGCACATGCAAATAATCCATGAAACCTGTCCAAGTCAATAACTTTCTATCATTCATTTCTGCTCTAAATGTGGCCTGGCGTCAGATCTGGCAAGACCTTTGCACAGGGGAAAGGATAAGCAGTAGGAGTAACCTGAGAGATAAGTTTGATAAGTTACAGTAAGTGCATGACTACAAAGCTGTTACGATTGGACTTGTGGTTCGGTGACCTGGTAATACAACTGAAGTGCTGAAGCAATTGTATGAGTGATATGTATCTAAATAATGATTATCCAATCATTTGTCATATTAGTGGTTTTGTCATCTCTGTTTGTGTAATTTAAATGTGACCTGGCATTTCACCAGACCGTCACTACTGTTGTCACCTGTGTACCTTGTACCTGGGACTTCTGTTACATTGTGACTCCTGGTATTCATTTAAGAGAATGGACGATAGAATAATACTTTCACATCAAGACGAACACAAAATAGTTACGTCTAATAAAAAGCAGGTAAAAGTTGATGAATTTATGTCATTCCTTATTGCCCTGAGCATTGTTTGGCATCAGGTCCCCATCAGTAGGAGTAGAAATATGAAGCATTTGTAAATTGTTCTTTAACACAGAGATCACATCATGACCACACCGATACCAATGCAGAGTAACTGGCTTCTGCATCCAAAGGTTCCTTGGAGTACATTAAAGGACAATAGGTTTCACACGAACATAATTGCTACATTGATTTTCAAAAATATGTGATGTGCAAATGTACAGAGCAGCAGGTCTTCAACAGAGTTTAATAACTGGACGTACAATAACATCTTCATGCATAGTAGGACACAAGATAATTATTTTCCACATTGTTATGATACTTGTTTCCTCTCGTGTGGTTCTTCATTCACAGCTTTCAGGGTTGGGCGGAGAGAAGTCTGGGCCAAGCCTTGAAGAAAGAAACTAGAAACCATCGTGCGATGGGATCAGCCAAGATGCCACATTGGTCCATGGGCGTAAAGTCGGGGGGCCAACTTTGTCCCCCATTACTTACGGGGCCCTTGGCTCACACACAGACTTACAAGGTGAAAACAATACCGGCATCGCTGTTGCGGCTGGTAGTGACTGGCAATTGAAACAAAAGATTTCAGCTAACACATGTCAAGCTAACAGATGTGAAAGTTGAAGCATATGCATATATATCCTCAATGAAGCAGGACAAACTCTGTAATACTGCTGACGTCAACAGGCAGGTCGCCAATTAATAGAGTTTAAAGGGGTTTATCAATCTGTGGCAGGCGAAATAGCGACGATGCTGATAGGGCAGGGGAGGCGGGGCGGGGCCACTGCCTCTCCAGGAAACATAATTTAGATGAATAGTGGGCGTGTGCAGTCATTGTGGATTCAACAGAGCAGAGGCATCACTCCAAGTCCTTGTCTCTCAGAAAAGGGGTCCTGCAGCGAAGGCAAAGCTTGAGTCATGTGTGGTAAGTTTGCTTTATATCGAGTAAATGTGTTTCGAAACTTGTTGGAGGGAATTTCAATTGATTTACGCACGGAAATTGCCTTCACGGGTTCCCCCGCCGTGCCCAGCGCTTAGACACCGATTCCGTGCGCGTGATGATAAAAGTTATCATATCATACATTTGTTCTCGTGAAGTTGTCCCGAGCATGTGATAGTCATGCTGAAGATATGAGTTCTGAACTGAAACAGTCGGATAGACGGCTCTGTTTTCCGATCCGTGTGGATTCTTGAGACGCATTACGCGCAGCTGCGACGTGTCAGTGTTTCCACTCACGAACGTTGACAGGCAAGTCGTACTTTAACATGATTAAATGAAATCCGTTGTCTCCATTATTATTATATATGTCGTGACGCGCATCCTAAGCGCCACCTAAGATGAAGCACCAGTTAGCCTCACGTGTAACACTCTCGAGCGGGGACGTTTACAGCCGAAAGTCAATCTTTAACTGCACTTCGCACTCTCTCGGTGTCTGCAGGAGCCTGCCTACCTGGCTGCTCCAACACTGAGAGCAATGTGCGTCCGTCAATGCTCGGCTGTGTGCTTGCGAGAGGACAGCTTCCCGGAAAATGCCTACGCACATACACATACAAAAAAGTAGTTTTAATTGAATGAAGATGCAAGAGCTTGACCGAAGATGCAAGAGCTTGACCGACGCATGTTATTAAATGTAATGAGAAGCCATTTCTGCTCTCACATACAGCCTTTTGTGCGTTCTTGTCCTTCCCAGACATATTAAGGTGAAGATTATGCAGACTTTAAAAAAAATAGCAGTTTTGTTTCTCTCTCTCTCTCTCTCCCTTTCTAAAAGGGATCTTTGCCTACCTGAATTACCGAGTGCCTCGCACCAGAAAGGAGATATTTGAGACGCTGGTGAAGGGTCTGCTGAGACTGGAGTACAGAGGGTACGATTCAGCAGGTAAGACACTCGGCCTCACAGCTTTGCCACACCCCACACACACACACCTACACACACACACAAACACACACACACGTATGCACAAAAGCTCACAGTACTTCTTGGCAGCACCTGTGTGTCACGTCCTTTAACAAATTAAATCTGGGTTGTATTTGTCAGCAGTCAAATCATTAAGAAAGACAATCTGCCAGAAATGTAGACGATTTGGAGTTGAATCAGTATGATATTACACATGTTACCTGACAGTCAGCAAAATTGTACCTTGTTGGACTGGAATGAATGAAATGAAGCAAAACTGATAGAACAGCCAGAACCCACCAATGGCTTGCATTAAGTACAATTAATTTGCCATTGTTCACGTTGTATAATGAAAGAGTGTCAGTTTATTGCTTCATTTCATTGATCCACTTGTGCTAATAATGTAAATTCTTGAAGTCGGAAATGGAGGCAGATTTTAGGAGAGCTAAATTAAATAAATAAACAAATGAACATAATATATAACTGTCTGCCACTTTCCCATGACTGATTGTAAATAAACTCGGCATTGGGCTGGAACACTGAATTATCTGTATGTAATGATTCATTATATCATCAATTCAAATGAATGTTTCAGGCTGTAGTGTTGAGTCTGACTGTAGAAAGAGGTGATTTACATTGAACTTTGACTTTATTGCTGGCTCTGTTGTCACGCCAGCTATCCGACATAAGATCCTTCAAGTCTATTTACTTTTCTCACTTTTAACTATTCTGCATAGAATAAAATAAATGAATAAATAAAACTCTTTTTGCAGGATAATCATTTTTAAATGACATGCTATTCATTTTAAATGACTATATAGCATGAATCGTGTTGTGCGTTGACACAGGCATTTGGGGACAAATACTGAGGTCATAGAACCAGCAGATCTAATATTTCTCTCATAAAGTTATTGCACAACTTAATTTTGCTTTTCATGTGTGCAGTGTCTCTGTGTAGCCTACACTGAATCCATAGCACGTCATTTAAAAAGGGCAATAATAATGGTTAGTACTCAGTAATATATGACAGATGAGTCTGAAATAGAGTTTTTAGAAGGAAGGAGCTGATTGGCTGGCCTGGAATCCATATTGCCAGGATGCCAAAGGACAGCAGACGCAGGTAGAAACCATCAAATTTCTTAAAAGTTAAACAATTTGAAAGGTGACAGTAGGTTTTATATGTTATTGCTATACAATTAGGGCTGGGCGGCATGACCAAAAATGCATATCACGGTATTTTGTAAGACTCTGGCGGTTTCACGGTATATCACGGTATTTTTTTTCCGTGTTAAAGCATTAATTAATTAACGCCAAAAAGAAACGGCAGGCCAGCGAGCGGTGAACAGCTGTTTGTGTGGCATGTCTTCTGTTCAGTCACTTCCTGTTTTCTTCACATTTATTTATCCATCTATCCATCTATCTATCTATCTATCTATCTCAGAACAGTGAAGAAAACGTCGCCAATGGAATTTAAAGAAGAAGCCGCTACATGTACATTTATAACAAATACCACACATATTACGGTAATCAGCGTTGCATATGTGTCTGACCTAAATACCTTTTATTGTTCAGTCTTTGTTAGCAGACTGTTAGCGAGCTTTACCCAGCATGCAGTTCGGCGGAGAAATTTTATAAATGTACAATTATTAGTGCTACAAATTGTTTATCTGTCACACACTATTGAGTCATGGTGTTTTGCCCTGTTAAAGAGCATTAGTTGTGGGTTGTTAATTGTTGTTATAAAGTAAACCATGACTAGGGTTCGCTCTCATTACAGGTAAGACAACTAGCTCCGTCTGTAGCACTCCTGGCTGCGAACAATATATTTTGCTGCCTGTTGAAGAGCAACAGAAGTTGTTTCGGCTGTGCACCGGTATGATGGTATATAAAAAAATTCATATCATACGGGAAATTGAAACCTGTATACAGGTTGAACCGGTATACCGCCCAGCCCTATATGCATTGTAATACAGACCCGTGTTGTTAGCAGCTTACACATGAGTACCCTGTAGGAGGCTGTCGTATTAAAGAAAGGCTCGTGATCAGAGTTAGATACCCCTATGTTTATTGTGGGATGGCAAGTGATGACGTAATGTACTCAAAAGTGCGAACAGTAAATAAACTTGAAGGATCTTATGTCAGATAGCTTACAGGCGTAAGAGACATGACAACAGAGCCAGCAATAACGTCAAAGTTCAATGTCAACTCTTTCTACAGTCAGACTCGACACATGACTCTACACTACAGCCTGAAACATTCACACAAATAGTTTAAGAAGACGTCATTTAAATACAGGAATTGATGATATAAGTGTTCGACCCCCAAGGCCAAATTTATTCACGATCAGTCGTGGGAAAGTGGCAGAAATATGACTTGATAACAGTTATATATTACGTTCACTATTTAGGCTATTTGTTTATTTATTTAATTCAGCTCTCCTAAAGTCGATCGCTGTAGTCGACGCGTTTGAAAACGCGCAACTTTTACTTTGAGGGCGAGCTGCCTCTGTTTCCGACTCTCAACTCCCTTGACTCAATTTTCATTATTAGCGTTTGTTAATCGAATGAGCTGAGGTTTTGGTACGCAGAATTGCATTGCCTGTTATTATTCAATGCGACAATAACACAGGCCAACCTTTACGGCGTTTAGGCAGCATCGGCTTCCGACCAACGCACTCGCACGTATCAGAATATTTGCATTAATACCACAAGTAGACCAATGACATTAGGCAATACCAATAAACTGACGGTTTTTCATTAAAATATTTCAAACACACACTTTGTGTTTGTAAATCTGATTTGAGTAAGATGAAGCCACACAATTAAGATGTCCTTTAATGACACTATGTCCTACTTGCGCACATTCAAAGACACACCCACAACAAATGGTACCTCAACAGGTTAAATCCTTTGTCACTACTCATAACCTATTCATCTGCATTCTTTCACGATGAAGTTGCATTCAACCTCTCGTCACTGATGTATTTAGAAGGTTTTGAATCTGTGCGCTTTCTTGCTCCAAAAGTATCTATCTCATTCCCCTCCTGTCTGTTTGCAGGCATCGCTGTGGATGGTCCTAAGAAGACGGCCACTGATAACAACAACGACAGCGTCTGCATAATCAAGACGAAGGGGAAGGTCAAGGCTCTGGATGAAGAGCTTTACAGTGGGTTCATGCAGGGTCATATTGTCTTTGTCAACATGCTTTCTAATGTTTGAATTTTGGTGACTGTTCACGTTCATGTCAGTAAAGTGATTGGTGTCGTTTCTTCTTTTTTTGCTTGTTCAGAGAAAGACTCACTGGACCTGGATGAGGAGCTGTACACACACTTTGGCATCGCTCACACTCGCTGGGCCACACACGGAGAGCCCAGCCCTGTCAACAGCCACCCTCATCGCTCCGACAAGGAAAACGGTAACATGTGCTCACATACACAGTACAGTGTACAGTATGAATTCATTTAACACCCGTGGTTAACCAACTGTAAATCTATGCAAAACATGCTGTTGAAATATCTACATTAATGGCGGTTTTAGGCTTTCAGTGAAACACAGGAGTCATTCGATAATCAGGAAAAACAGGAGAACTCTGATCTTGTTTCGCTGTGACTCTTTGAAGATCTTGTTTTGAATGACTTCATTATCACCCAGCCTGTCTCAGCAGATCATTAAATTAAACCATCAAGATACCTTAATACAACATACCTTCTGCTCTAGCCAAATATACACCCACCTCTTTGTCAATAGTGCGCCATCTTCATAGTCGTGTCAACAATAGTGTAATGCTGTAATCGTTCACTCTCACTGACGTTTTCTTTTCTCAGAGTTTGTCGTCATCCACAATGGTATCATCACCAACTACAAAGAGCTGAAGGCATACCTGGTAAGTAAACTCGTCGTCAGGAATTTCTTTTGTACACACAACTGAGTTTCAATTCCATTCAGTGCCTTCTCAGACCCGCCCTGTGTCTTTCTGCTCAAAGGAAAGCAGCTCCGTCACTGTATTTTTGAAAAGCACAACATCCCTCAAATGAACCATGAAGACTAATATGGCACAGTTTGCCATGTTGTTCTGTTTACAGGTTAGGCACATTTGTGGCTGCATCGTTTGATTTGTTTGTTCAGCTGGGTTTGTAAAAGTTACTCTGTCTGCTGCTTATGCAACCACTGCAAGCATCGTTTTTCAAATAAGTTAATTTCATAAAATAAATACACTGAAAACATTATATAAGACTTTTCTTTTGTTTATAAATCCCTTCAGCTGTCAGCACGAGAGCTCTCTATTGAGGCAACATTATTCAGTATTACTCATTAACTAAGGAGTGACTTGCTGCCGCATTGTACTTGGGCAAAAGTCAAACCTGACTGGTAAGTACATACGATGCATAGAAGAAGCATTGATAAAACAAATAAAGAATTTCACTCAAAACGTTAAGTGGCATTACTTAATCGGCCCATGCAACTTTAGTGTGTAATTGAATCACTTTAGAAAATAAAGCATTGGAGATCTTGCCTGGTCCACCGTTTGTATCTACACACAGAGTAGGTCCTCTTCACGGAGTCCGCTGTGTTGCACTGCCATGTTTCTACAGTAGCCCAGAACGGACAAGCTAAAAAGCTAGGGCCATTCATGTATTTCGCGTAAGCCACTGTAGTTCTCCTAAAGGCTGGACACCCGGGAGAAGTTTCAGTTACTTGCAATCTGCAACCTCTCCACTAGAGGTGGCCAAATCCCACACAATGGACCTTTTAAGTAGCTAGTTGTTGACGCACAACATTGATGTGAGACAACGTCACAAGTGTGACTCTGAGTACAAATGTAAGCAATTTGACTCCAGTTTTTTTGCATCTCTTAATGTACTCACACAGAAATAGTAATAACAGCTAGAGACAAGGACAACAAAGCTGAACAGATAAATGTAAAGAAGAGGCAGAACTTCTATATAGTGAAAAAAATAACCAAAACAAATACCACAGCAATATGAATACAAATCTTTGCTGTAGCTATCAGCCACGACAGCAACGCTGGTATTTCTTTTCCCTTTTTTGAGTCTGTGTGCGAGTCATGCCTGTTGTACAGGAACTACAAGAGCGGTGGGGTGTGTAGATCTTTCTGTCAGTGGACAGATTTTATCACCGCATCGGACTCATAACTCTGCAACACCTGTTGATGTTGTGAAAGGTGTAATCCCAATCGCAAGATGGTCTCTTGTTTAAATAGAGTTTCAATCAGCGACATGCAGAATGAAAAACTAGAGGCTTTTACCTTTGTTTAGTGATATTTATATTATGTTATGTTATAGCTATATATTGTAAAAAGTGAACAGAATTAAAATGTATAGATGGTATTCATGAAAGACCTGCTGCAGTCTGATCTTGCAGGATGACTGACAGTTTCTGCTCAGGTTGTTTGTTTGTTTTCATATACACTGTACCTTCCTCAGATCAACAAAGGATACGAGTTTGAGTCAGAGACGGACACAGAGGTGATACCGAAACTAACCAAATATGTTTACGACAACCGAGAGAATGACATCACCTTCTCCACCCTGGTAGAGAGGGTTATTAAGCAGCTGGTGAGTAGCTCACACACAGCAACACGTAACTTACAACACTGACTGCTACCACAATAACACCGCTTATCCCCTGCTAACTGATAGCATTTGCATGCTAATCTTTGTTTTGTTGTAATATTACAAGATATTTGCTTCTAGTTCTTTCTTCTGCCAGTGAGCAGTAATGTAATCTAAGTAAGTTATTTTACTCAAGTATTTTGACATACTTTACTTGAGTATTATCATGTTATGCCACTTTATAATTCTAATCCACTACATTGCATTGTACTTTTCAATCCCAAACATGTACATAAGATATGCTAATATGATGTGATGTAATACTATACTACTAATCTAATCTCTAAAATATCTCACATTGGCTCCACATTGGCAAACTTCAAAGTTAACATGCTCTTTCATGTATTCATCAGTGATAAAAACAAAACAATGTGATATTTTATAATAATATAACACTGTAAAGGAGCCGCTTTACTTTTGATATTTAGAGTTCACTTTTACTTCTACTTAAATAACACTTTTAATATAGGACTTGTACATGGAGTATTCTGAGACCGTGCTATTTCTACTATCATTCTATCATTCATTCTACTATCATATCAAAGGATCTCAGTACTTCTTCCACCACTGCCAGTGAGACGCATCACAGCATCTTGGTTTTTTTTACTTCAGCTCTACTTTAAGAGATGGACATTTTTATAACCAGCTTCCTGGTATGAAGAATAAAATCCTGTAGCTTAGTGCCATTAAATATCTCATTAATCATTCACTGACACTTACGTGCTCATTTTAAAATGTGTGCTTGCATTTCCTTTCCATTAAAACAATGTACACCGTCTCTATAGTAACCGCCCGAACAGCATCACAAGTGACATCATCAGTCGCAGACACAGATTTTTGTCGGGTGAGATGGGTCAAGCCTCTCTGCTTCATTGTGACTTTCATGCGTCACACTTTTTTTTTTTTTTTTTGGGAGTGGGTTCTCTCTCCTTGGAAGAACAGAGGAGGCACGAGCAGCCATTTTGGATTCGTAGTAATGGGAACCAGATAACAGCGTCACAACGAGAACGCCCTCCCCTCGTCTCCCTTTTCTCAACACCACACAAACATACTCCAAGCTAGTTCTGCCTCTAACCACCGCAGGCAGCATTGCAGTGAGTGCTTTCGAGACACAGCTGATGTTGTACAATAGAGGTCTTATTTCTCTTAACCCGCCCCTCCCACTGTCTGTCACTACTTATCACAACTGCCAAACCCCACAGGGCCAGAAGAGACGTCTGTTTGTGTCCCGAAAATGTTTCTCTTAAAGGTTACATGCTTTCCCGGAATACACAACAAACTTTGCCTTCAAGTTTTCATTTTTATATTATATTATATCTCCTCAGTGTACTTCCATGTTTATGCATTTCAGTCTTTCATCAAGCCAATGTAAACTCAGTATTTCCGTTCTGTCTCAGGAGGGGGCCTTCGCTCTGGTGTTTAAAAGCCGTCATTTCCCTTCAGAGGCTGTGTCCACCAGGTTAGTACCACACACACACACACACACACACACACTCTACACTCTACACTGACATTTCTGACATGTGAGTAGTGAGCCAGACTCATTAGAGATGAGTCATCCCTGTTATTACATGAATGAAGCAATCCCAGATATGATTCAAGGAGACTTTATTCAGTCATCGTGGCTTATCTTAGATAGCATCTATTACACGTGGCATGTTATGACTGTTATGGAACAGCCATAACGTATGATGATGGAAACTAGAGATGTTTTCTGTGTGAATGTGTGGAAAATCCCAAACGCCTGCATGTGTCGGTGCTGTGTGCATCTTAAGACTCAGGCAGAGGTTGAATTCAGGTTCCTCCTCTTCCTCCTGGGCCTCTGAGCTGCTGCCTCTACGACGGCCTCTCTGTGACTCATTAACAAATGCCCCTGCCAGAAACTTGAAAGACTCACGGTTAATCACTTCACATCATTTTATTTTTTACTCGCACCTTTCCTGGTTCGGTTGAGCCGTTATGGATCAGGGGAGAGGAAGATTGCTGCAGCACGGGAGTGAGAGAAGGAAACAGGCGGAGGGCAAATGGGCAACAAAGTGAGGAGAGATAAGTGGGCTGTTACTTATGGTGGATGCCAACATCTGCTGCAGCCAACATCTGCTGCAGCCAACATCTGCTGCAGGAAACTGTAGCATCTCATCTGTCTATTGTGTGCTTGTAGCTTCTGGAGAAAAGATTCTGATATCCGTATATTGCACAGCTTTGGCTTTCTCAATGCATTTTTTGGGGTTGTTGAATAGTTAGCATTGTTTCCCAGAATGGAGGGATGAGGGGATATTTGTAATTATGAAGTGATGCTCGTCTCTACCCGCTCTTTGTTGCCAAGGTTCAACCTCCCGGCAGGACTTTTACTCTTTTCTTCTCAGATTCGCATTCTTTAACTTTCTCTCAATCCATTGTTCTTCCTTTCTCTTTTTTTTCTGCCCCTTTGTCTTTGTCTTACTTACTCCTTAATTTTCTTCTGTCCCTTGGCGTCCCCCCTTCCCGTCTCTCCCGCAGGGTAAGTATTGTATTGGATAGCGACCACATGTTTCTGTTTGCAGGCGTTCCCTTTCCAAGCCCCACGCCCCTTAAAACAACAAGTGATATTACATCAGCGTAGCCGAGCCCCAGAGAAGGGCGAACGGAGAGAAAAGAGAGCTCAAGACAGAGAAAGACAAGACATAAAGAGAGGCCCTTTGGACGTGGTTTCTCAAGAGTTGCTGTCATAATGACTAACTCATAATAATTATTGGCCATGAAGTGGTTTTCTTTCCATGTACTGTTTGCACTGTGGTCACTAGATTATTGTGAAAAGGTTTCATCTATTTCAAGTTCGTCTCCTCAAAACCCTCCTCCCTCACCTTTCTACATCTAGATGTGGTTGCACCTTTTCTGCCTCCACTGCCAATAGGGGAAGACCACATGGAATTAGTAGCCAATGAGGAAGCAGAGACTCGGTCCAGGAACTGTGAGCAAATCCTACAGGGATGTAGACGAATTGAGGATCTGTTTACTTGTCTGATGTTCAAGATTAGAACGTTTAGAAGCGACCTGGAATAAAGTGGATGTCTGAGCCTCTGCACAGGGACAAACCCAACCTCAGGATTAAAAGGATGAAAAACTAATCTTACAAAGATTGAGTTTGAGATGGTACAGGGAAGAAAAAAAACTGTACAAAGCTCCACATGAGAGTGTATGTAAATTACATTGTGTGTCTACTACAAAGCCTAATCCTCTCTCCGTCTTCCTCCCGGCCTGCTTCATACTTGTCCTGGCAGGAGAGGAAGTCCATTGCTCATTGGTGTGCGAAGCGAGCAAGAGCTGACGACTGACATCCCCATCCAGTACAACAGTGGTGAGCCCTGTTCCTATCTCTGTCTGCCATTATCTGCTTACACTGCACCCTAAATCTCTGCACGCTCACAGACGGACACTATGTAGGTACACGCATTCACAGCAGCAGAGAGTTTTAATTCATCAGCATATAGTCAATTTACCATCCATCACCACTTTTACACACATCTTAAAAGGATAAGGCAGGCAAAGACCCAAACCAACAATGCCTTAGTCCATCTCTCAACACGGTCTGACTCTCAGCCCCAAGCATTCTTACTGAAGTTGTGAATCTTGAAATTGGGTTGTGAATATATACTTTCATTTAAAAAAAAAAAAAAAAGACTTAACCTTTTCCTAAAACAGCTGGATACTGTAGTTTTGAGCAAACTCAAACAGGAGTAAATATTTGTTTGTGACTATTTCCAGCCAGCCGGGTGGTGTATGTGGGATCGACCCAAAATAAATTACACTGCCCGTCTTTATCTTAATGAAGGGACATGTCACCGAGTGCAACAGTGTGGCTCATTGATCCGTTTTTAATAGTTTTGTGGAAGCAATGGAGCTTTACGGCACTGATGAATACGACTCATGCCTTCAGTTGTACTTGTTAGGAGGATAAATTCATTGTTGGTTTTAGTCTTTTCATTGAAATGGCAACACTTTCTGTGACGCCCATGTCTATAATGCATTATGAACATACTTTATAGCACTGTATAATAGCAGTGCTAAGCATAAATATTCATAATGTTGTAACAATAATCATAACATATTATAGAGAATGTTATAATGCCTTATAAAGGTAAAGTAACATAATGCTTCACAGTAGCTGGTCACTCGCTTACATTTTTTTATTGCATACACTTTTTTTCATAGTGTATTTTAATTTCCGTATTGTATATTGTTAGTTAATCTAAGTGGTCCTTGTTTGTATCAGAAAGATATGCAGAAAGTAAGCATAAACAGTAGCCTTCAAACATGTATCCTATCAAGTGAGCATCTTCTATCTTTACTTTCTCCCTGGATAACAGTGTAATAATTACCGAACTCTTCCTCTTCCTCAGATGTACTGTAACAAATCTCACATAGTGAGGCTCCTGGCTGACTGTAGAAGAAGTACAAGATGTTTTTTCGAACTCTGTTATGCATTGTGCAATAATTCTGCTGAAAACCTTTCTTCGAAAGCCATTTCCCTAAAATGTTGCCAGGGGTTTCTTTGTGTATTTTCAGAGTGCAGTGGTCTTTTGGAAATTATTCTGGGGAGTGGATAAAGAATGTGGTTCTCACTCCTAGAGTTCCCCGCAATAGAGACAGCATTTCTCTTTCAATGTTTCATATACGCTTGTTACCAAAAGCCTCTGCTGGTAGGATCTTTCATTGTGAGCAACAACTTGGTTGTTTTGCAATTGCTTTTTCGTCTACTTGTACACTGCCTTATCTGTACACTTAGAATATATGGTTCTTTACTAATGGTTCAAGTGGGACCAGTCCAAAGCTCAAGGCAGAGTTAGATGGTTTGGAGTCAGTGGGGTCATACAGCGTGTGTTGATTTAGTGGTTGAAAACAATCCTTTCAATTCTCTTTGGCCTTTTCTTTTCATATTGTTTTATTTCATGACTGATATCTCTTCAATATATATAAATCTTCTTGTTTAAACAATATATACAATACTAGAATTACCAAATAAGATCATGGTCTTGCTGACATCCCAGAGAACATTTAGTTTACTGGAGAGTAATAGCAGATGTCTTATTTCTATTGGCATGTATAGTAATAAAGAACACATTGGATCACAAATACCATTCACTGATGCCTCCACATGACAACTCATCTCACAGCAGCAGTGACCTGACTCTATCTGGGAGTTTAAAAGAAGAATTCAATTGATGAGCACATCTTGATTGTTTTAGTCATTCAAAGTCACGGTGTGACCTCTGACCCTTGACCTCTGACTTCTTCCAGTCCAGGAGAAGAACAGCCATAATCGTCCCGACTGCCCCACCGGCATCAACTCTGTGGGGGATGGCAGGCCTGTGGAGTATTACTTTGCCTCTGATGCCAGGTGAGATGCCAATTGTCTGTGGAGTGTGTCGAATAATTCGATTCTTATTTGTCATGTTATTAATGTCACTGTCTCTCTCTACCATACCTATCAAGTGTGAGAAAAGAAAGAAGTTCAGTGACCTATTACCTCAGTAAACATTAGTTTATGTCCTCAATCACTAGTTTCTAGTCTTGTTCATTCCAACATGATGTTCATTTAGTCAATTATGAGTAAAATAGACCATAAAGCAGAGTATGCTTTAGGGTGGGTTACATTGTGATTGACAGGTCACTACCACATCATTGTCTGTTTTTTGTCTTATAGAACTTTAACCCTTTCACAGTATGTTTTCAGTTCATGAAAGTTAACAGTAACCTTTTTGGGAGCCTAAAAATGTCTTATTCAGCATTTGGTTGTACTTGGCTCCCCCCTCTTGTGTCACTTGTGGTTGCTAAAAAGAAAACAAGACGGCAACAAACAAAATGCCAAACTCAAGGCTTCAAAACCCTAGTATACAAACAAATGGGTGATGTCACGGTGACTAAGTCCACTACTTATATCCAATCTACGGTCTCTACCCACAGTGCCATCATTGAGCACACCAACAAGGTGCTGTACCTGGAGGATAATGACATGGCAGTGGTGATCGACGGGGAACTCTCCATCCGCAGGGTGAAACGGCAGGATGGTGAGGTTCCAGTGAGGGCAATCCAGACCCTTCAGATGGAGCTGCAACAGATCATGAAAGGTCAGATAATGGTCAAAAAGATAACTTTGTCTGCTGGTGGATATGAGGACAATAAATTGCTTTTATTTCATATTATTTTAGACAAGTAGTTTAGCTTAAAGGGGAATTGTTTAAACGTGCAAGAGATCAGAGGTTCTGAAGAACACTAAGAGCACAGCTTCCAACAGATCTTACTGATGAATAAAACATTGTACTTTCAGGTCAGACTCTATTTTGGTGAATGCAAAATGTTCTCACTGGTTTCTGTTTCCTTGAACAATGAATGCATGCAACATGGTACCGGGAAACAGACCCAACACAACAGTGGTACACATGGAGTTTAGTTAAAGAAAGAATATCTCCAATTTCAATTATACCAAAGAAACAAGGTCACAGATGGAGGTGTGCACCTCATCATCGTTACCTAGTCTAAACAATACAATGCCTGTCTCCAGCCTCGACGAGAAACTGAGACACAACATCGTATAACGTTTCTGATTAGAAACATGGTGGGACTTCTCCACTTGCTGACAAATTTAAGGAAAAGGACAGGGTCAGTCCGCCACAACACTGCAGAAACACATATACTTCATGTTTTATTCTTAAAGGTATTTTTCCGCCACTCGTAATGAATACGCTGAGAACATTAATGCAGAGCTACAGATCGAGTCTAGTGTGTAGACTTGCTCGCCATCTGCTGGCTGAAAGTGAAAACAAAATACAGCTGTCAGTTTTTCAGCCTCTTTCAACACAAGACTCCACACACTTCTGTCTTCTGTCTCTTGGGGACATTCTGCATGTCCTCATATGTCATGAGGAGTACCGACCATATAGTCTGATGCACAAATATGCTCCTCTCTTTGCAGGTAACTTTGATGCCTTCATGCAGAAGGAGATCTTTGAGCAGCCGGAGTCGGTCGTCAACACCATGAGGGGACGTATTTGTTTTGACTCAAACACAGGTGACTGGCGATCTTGATACCTGCCCTGCCTTCAATGTACATAAAGATATGTAGGGCACCTGAAAAGGTACACGATCCCTTGTACCAATATTAGCAGGGACTAGGCAGGATCTGCAGTTTCTTGCTGAGTCCTTCTTATTATTTGTCTAATTTGAATGAAGAAGAAATCAGAGACTAATATTTATTTGCCCTCATTTAAATGCACACTAATGTAACTACCATCTATTTCCTCAGTGATTCTCGGTGGGCTGAAGGACCACCTGAAGGAAATCAAACGATGCAGACGGCTAATTGTGATTGGCTGCGGCACTAGCTTCCACGCTGCAGTGGCTGTGAGTAGAGCTATCAAAAACTAGGATACGCATGATGATCATCATTCTGTGAGACGGTAGTAAAATTACAGTTAAAAAAAACAAAGTAATTGTTTGTATAATCGCTGCTTTTGTTTCCTTAATTTTCAGACGAGGCAGGTCCTCGAGGAGCTGACGGAGCTGTCTGTCATGGTGGAGCTGGCAAGCGACTTCCTGGACCGCAACACGCCTGTTTTTAGAGACGACGTTTGCTTCTTCATCAGTCAGTCAGGTGAAAACAAAACACAAAAAAAACTCATATTATTGGCTTCTGAGGTCACTGTTGTAGCTTTACTGGATTTTTATTTTTCAAAAACATGGTCCTGTGTGAAGTCTGTATCATCATCCTTTTTGTGTTTTACCTCCAGCAGTGGCCTTATTGTGCTGTAATTCTGCATTGTAAGCATATTATATCATTCCCTCTGCTTCCTCAGGAGAGACGGCAGACACCTTAATGGCGCTACGCTACTGCAAGGGTCAAGGTGCTCTGACAGTTGGTATAACCAACACTGTGGGCAGCTCCATTTGTAGAGAAACAGACTGCGGAGTCCACGTCAATGCTGGCCCTGAGATCGGAGTGGCTAGCACTAAGGTATGGTGTATAAGATCTGTTTCACAATCTGGCATCAGCAATATGTAAAATCGACATGTTTTATACGAGTGTTTCATTGTGAATGTGATCCAGGCCTACACCAGTCAGTTTGTGGCCCTCACCATGTTTGGCCTCATGATGAGCGAGGACAGGCTCTCCCTACAGCCGAGAAGAATGGAGATCATCGAAGGCTTCAAAGTGCTACCCGGTCAGTCAGAAAAACACCAGTAAATCAGAAATGCAAAGCCTTCGTGGTCTCAACAAGAGCCACAGTATCTTTAAATGCAGACTGACAGATGCTAAACTATGTTTGACCAACACTGACAAATGAAGCTGTACAACAAAATGCTTTATCTTTTGTTGAAATGGATGTGCACTCAAATTCTCTCTGTTACCAAAATAGCTCCATCTCCACACCACTAAATAGTCTATACTATGCTACTCTCTTAGAGCTGATAAAGAAGGTGTTGGCCCTGGATAAAAAGATCAAAGCTATCGCTGATGAACTCTATGAACAGAAGTCTCTGCTGGTCATGGGCCGAGGTTTCCACTACGCCACCTGCCTTGAGGGGGCGCTGGTGAGTTGAGAACGCCACAGTAATCTGTCAAAAAACTGCAATTCACTTCTCCTAGAATAACATGAAATATGTAGACAAAGTGCATGCATCAGATGACAAAACAGAGTTTGAATGTCGGTAGTGCTGTATGTGTCCTCCTTATACAACCGTAGAATGGTACATTTGTCTTCATAAGGTCGTATTACACAAATTGCTTCCTTATCTATGCTCTCTACTGAAACCAAAACAAAACATTTTAAACAAAAAAATGGTGTCATGTTGTCATCCAGGATAATGTTCTGAGCTAGTTTTTATTCTTTTCACTCCAATGCAGAAAATCAAGGAGATCACCTACATGCACTCCGAGGGCATCCTGGCCGGGGAGCTGAAGCACGGTCCTCTGGCACTCATAGACAAAGACATGCCGGTCATCATGATCATCATGAAAGACGCCTGCTACACCAAGTGCCAGAATGCTCTGCAACAAGTCACTGCCAGATCGGTAAGTCCTGGAAAAACCTGCAGGCACTGAAACACACACCTGGACACTTTCACAATTGACTGATGTTCTTGCTCGCGACTCTCTCTCTCCATCAGGGTCGGCCCATCATCCTTTGTTGCCAGGATGACCCTGAGATCAGTCAGATGGCCTACCACACCATCGAGCTGCCGCAGACTGTGGACTGTCTGCAGGGAATCCTCACTGTCATCCCCCTGCAGCTCCTGTCCTTCCACTTGGCCGTCCTGCGAGGATATGACGTAAGTAATCGACACCATTTTCCACTCTGTACAAATTCTCACTGTACATGAAAAACAGTCAAAGTATTTTTGTTTTGAGTCGTAAAGTATTGTCTTTTATCAACCAAACATTTTGTCTGCTAATTTTGATCAGCGATCTGAGCCCCAGAAATGAGGGAGATCATACAAATATTGTCATTATCATGAGATATTGAAAGGTAGCTATTCCTGGTTAGGAATATGACATTTAAATGCATATTTATTCAAAAACATTGTGTGCTTGTATAATTAGCTTTTGCTATCTATTAGCCTATGAATTTGATATTGTTGCATATTAGTTTTAATGATATGCTAAGTCTGAAGTTCAGATACATGCAATGTTCTCAACATTTATGTTTTTAATTTAACGGTGATTATGAATATCAAAGTATAATTTTAGCATGTCAATGGAATGTAATTTGCATGCAGCACAAGACTCTGGGAGGCTATTTATTGCTTGCAGTTAATTAATTCTTTACATACTGTACAGTGGATGCACAGACCAGATTACAAAGCAGGATTGTGCTGCCCACCGGCTGCTAACAGCTAATGTAACTAGGTCTTCTCCAACATAGATTGGTTGTTCACTATGTAGCATTATCAGGAGAATTTTCTATCCACCGCCAGACGACAGAATGTTGAGCCTTGATCCCTGGTACCTACAAAACCTAGAAAAACAAAAACTGCCACATTTTCTTTAATTTAGCATTATGAAAATAAGTTAGCTGAGGCGTTTGCAAACTTACGTTGCCAGATCTCGTGAGGGTATGTTGCTGAGACAGAAAAAGGTCTCTGACAAAGTACATTTTCTCTGGATTTGTCTGTCTGAAAAATGTCAATTTAGTGTTGGAATGTTCAGAAAATATGTTCCTTTTGGAAAATAGATTCAATATTTACTTGAATGACTGGTTTGAAGGAATCGGTCATGAGCTGTGTTCACCCTAACTTCTCCCATTGGAGTTAATAGACCGGAGACTGTATATAAGAAGTGGAAATAGTCGTCGTGACGTCAGTCATTGGTTTGTGGACTGCTGTTTTGAAGCCTCTAGTTTGGCGTTTTGTCCGTCAGCACCTTGGTGAACGGAAGTGATATGATGTCCTTGAATAGCTAACACAGTTATGACATGTGTAATCAGTGACTTTTCTTATCTTAAAGACAAGCACTGGTCAGTGACTCAGATTTCAAAGTGTTTTTAACATTTGTTATCCACCTTTTCTAGCTTGTTAATTTGTGTTTGTTTCAGTGTAAAAGAGAAGCGTATGCTTCGTAGATGACAAACAGCAAATGCACTTTATGCTCCAGATTATTTGTTCTAACGAACTGCTTTCTCTTTTTGCAGGTTGACTTTCCCAGAAACTTGGCCAAATCTGTGACCGTGGAATAATTACAGTAGGCAAAGCACAACAGAGGAGAAAGGAGGCTCATAGATTTTGTGTGTGTGTGTGTGTGTGTGCGCGCGTGTCGAGATTGAGGTGAAGTAGGGCACTTTGTGTGTGTGTGCGGGGATGAGGGTGTGAGTGAGAGAAACTGACTGATGAAAGAGTGAGGTATACTGAACAATGACTTTGGAAAAAAAAAAAAAGGAGAAATGTGAAGTCCAAATCCGACCAATTAATGCACTGCTGAGGATGTGCCAGTGCCATTGAGGCTTTCTCAGAACAATCTATGAAACGATATTCACACATCCAAAGCAACCAACACGCTGTGCCTTTTTCTTTTCTCGAGATGAGCCAAAAAAAACATTACGAGAGACTTAGCAGAGAGGCATTCATATGGTGTATTGAAGTGTTTACAGTTGTGCAATAAGGGGACCAAATGTGTATTATGTATGCACACAATCATGAGCGAGGTGATTTGTTCTCTTTCTGTTTTGATGGTTGTATTATGTCCACTGGGGGCGTCTTACCTCTCTTTGAATAATGGGAAATGTAGGAATCAAACTCTTTTATTTTAGAGAGTTCTCTAAATTATGAAAATCTCTTTTTTTTTATATATATTTTGCTGCACATTTATGCCATCACTGTTCCTGGTGAGCCAATAGCCCATAACTTCATTACTTTTAGCAGTTACCAGAGGGAAATTCCTCGATCTGACTTTCACATTATTACTTGATTCACTTGATGTTTCTGCTCCATTTTACTGTTCTTTCATTTTAATTTAAATATATTGTAATGCTATTCTGTTTAACAGAATTCCAGTTTCCAAAGACAGTTGATGGTAGAACATGGACCTTTGTTTCCTGACTTTCCTTATACTTATTCTTGTCATCGGTTGGAGCTTTTCCTGACACAAACATGATAATATTCATAAATATTTAAAGAATACCTTGACTTTCAATAACACTTGTTTTGTATGGGTTTATAATAATAATAATACTATTCTGTATTTATCGGATTTTTATTTTATAAGGGCTTAGAAGGGTTTTAATAATATCTTTAAATATGATTGTATTTTATACTGTGTTTTATAGACATACGGTATAATCAATAAATAGATAAAGGCATGTTAATCAAAGTGCTGCTGTTGTTCTTCTTTTCTCCTTACTTGGCAGTGTTTGTTGTGGTAAGTAATATCAAATGTTGATGCTGTATTGGTAAGACAGGCGGATGATGGCTGCAGGTATAGTTCTTATTCATTCATTTATGTAACTCATTGGTAGGAGCCTGCATGACCACTCATTCAGTCTAATCCCAGTTTACTCCGGAGTACTTCCATTTTATTCAGATTTTTACTTAAAATTCTTCTGACAGCTAAAGTTACTTTGAAAAATCAGATTTTGCAGCTTATTTTACATCTTACTATCATATAAATTCTGAGGCATACAATGAGGCAAATAGTTGAAATTAATTAGATAGATAGATACTTTATTCATCCCGCAAGGGGATAGGTAGAAAAATGCACAGTATATACTGAAAATAACAGTAAAAAGTATGAAATGCACAATATATACAATGAAATATAATGTGAATTAACTAACTAACCAGTAGTGCAAATACTAACCAAACCAGCTCCACTTCTACGAGCTATGAAATATGATTCAGCCTTCAAGTTAATATGTAATTAATAATAACCTAATATTGAGCTGTAGGCTATGACGTATGCTTACTCCAGAAAATGATCTGATTACTTATTCTACTACGGATCCTTAAACCAATATTTGAATCTAGAATAACATCCAGAGCATCCTGAAAAGTTTTTCCACAGTCTTTCACGGAGAGGGGGGAAAAAAAAAAAAAAAAGTTTGCGCCCACGTAAACTATGCGCGATGACGTCACCCGCATGCTCGCGCTGTGCTTGTTGTGGCGTTCCCTTCCTCCGCATTCGTCCCTCCGTGCTGTCGCCGGAGTTCGCCAGGAACTGGAGGAAGGTTTTATCCGTCGTGACAGCTCGTTCTCCTCAACTTTCCCAAGTCCAGGTTGTGCCTGAAAGACGGAGAAGAGTATCGTGTCTGTGTCTTCGATGCATGGGAGTGCCCTGCGAGCGGAGAAGGGAGAGAAGGTAGGTCTCGCTGCTGCCGCCGCCGCCGCCTCCTCCGCCGTGTCCGTTAGTCCGTCAGAGCTTTCAGTTCAGCCCCCGGACCGACTACCGCATTGCTTCCGACACAAGAGAAGCAGACGGTCAGTGTGTAGGCCTCGGCAACTTTACAACCGCCCAAACGCGACGTGAATTTAACCGGCGTGTATGTTCGTGTGACTTCGGCAGTGTGAACGTCTCATTTCTGACTGTGTGCCGGCGGTGCTGCGGCCGCGGTGTGTCATACACGGGTGACTTCATACCTTTTTGTGTGTGTGTGTGTATTTTAAAGTAGGCATGCTGCGTGTGGAAATGTATGAAATTCTCAGTTTTAGGCTGTATTACAACATAAGGTCGTCAGTGTACTTATCTAGACCTGCTGATGTCACTAACGTCACATTAGCCAGATGAATGACATGTCTGTAGCTCGAGTATACTCAAAACAGGTATAGATGTGAGGAACGCTAGTGCTGTTTTATTTGGCATGGCATGTAAGAGGCAAGTTTCAGCTCGTCAACACATCAGGTGCCATGTGTACATGGAGCTAATCTGTCATATCTAAAATCTGAAGCATGTACGAGCATTGGGTTGGGTTGTTTTAGCCCACAGTGAGATTGTAGTACATATATACACACAGTATAATACACATTTAAAAGGATAACAAGATTGTCGAGCAACAGGTGTTGGCCTACTGCCCCCCCCC